TGGGTACCCCAATAATTGGATGATTATATAAAACTAAGGACAGACTAAACATGACTAAAATCTGTGGTGCCCCAGGTCTTTGACCCATATTCATGTTGTTTATATACTTAGATGGGCCATAGGATTAGCTGACTGGTTAGTAACTGGGGATTTGTTACCCTCTATATCCCAATGAAATAATTCATTTACTAACTAGTTAACTAGCTCCATGGCCCATCTAAGTAGAGACCATTATAACATGATATAACCATGATTCTGTTAATTTACCGGAGGGTAATATATTATCTATATACACATACCCTCCAGTAAATTAACATAGACCCTGGCAGATACGGGTTGGAAGACTAGTTTCCATTAAAAAGTGGTGATTTTCAGGGTCTATGTTAATTTACTGGAGGGTAATATATATATATATATATACACAGCTTCTTGTGGTTGTTGTTGTTGTTGTTGTTGTTGCTGTTGTTGTTGTTGTTTTTTCTTTAACCTCCCCCGGCCGTTTTTTTTTTAAGCGCCGGTCCCCCACCTGGTGGGACTGGGCGGACGTCGTAGTTGCGGCTCAGAATTGGACCTCGTGGGACTAGTGAGGAAGTCTTCGAAGTCCTGGCGGCGCGGCGTTTTAACAAAAAGGGATGATTTGAAACAATGGGATATGTCATATATCTGGGCAAATTATAATATTTCACTAACCTGAATTAAGGCCATTTGGGGATGATTTCCCTTACTAACCATGATTCCAGTGAGGTCACAGTGAGGTCGTTATAATTTACCCAGAAACAATGGTATATGACATATATGGGATATCTAATTCATATATGGGATATCTAACTAATTAGCAGGATTTCTCACTAAAAGTCAATGGGAATTTCAGGAACTGGTTAGTAACTGGGGATATCTACCAAAATCAAAGGTAGTTAACTGGTTAATTGGAGGATTTCTCACTAAATATCAATGGGAATTTCAGGATCCTAAAATGGAGATACGTGAGTACCATATTTCTGGCCATATTTTGGGGGTATATCCCCTTACATAGGCCTACAAAATAGGCCTTATATATGGTAGGTACCTCCAATTTAGGTTCCTGAAATGACCATTGAAAAAGGGATGATTTGAAACAATGGGATATGGCATATATGGAATATCTAATTGATAATAACCATTGTTTAACAAAAATGGGATGATTTGATTTAATATTTAATAAACAATGGGATTGTCATTAATGGGATGTTTTGGGAAATGAATTTAATAGTTATTGTAAATACAATATTAGATTTGAAATATGGGATTATTTATGAAATGGGATATACAATACAATAGTTAATGAATGATTACCTTTAATGGGATAATGGGGATATGTACTGATGAGATATTTAATGGGATCAAATGACCATATATCTGGATAAATTAACATCTGGTTAGTTTACATAGCCATGGAAAATCACCATTTCTAATGAGTAAACCATCTATTTCGATTAGGGCCATCTATACCATGGCTATGTAACAAATAACCAGAGGGTATAGATCATCATTTTCCCAATTATTTTTCCCATTCTATCCCATTATACCACTAGTTTTGATGGTTGATACTATACCATAGCTGTTAAATAACCAGATGGTATGATATTTCACTAACCTGCATTGTTGGGCCAACCATTATGGGATGATTTCCGGTGAGGCCACGTCGTCACGACGTGAGGTCTTGATGAAATTTACCCAGATTTTTTACCATGAATAGATGGTGATAAAATTGATAAAGCACTAACACTATATATATATACATATATCAAAATAAATAAAAATATCTATCAACATTTCATAAGATGAACAATTGTGATATTTGATGGGATATTTATCACCATGAATATTACATTTTTAATAAACAATGATGATTTTTGATGGGATACCAACGTGATATTCATGGTGATATAATGGAATATTCATCGATTTATCATGATGTATGTGATTCAATATGTATGACCACCATCATATTTTGGTGCCAAGGGAGAGTTTTACCATCAAACATGAGGCCGGAAAAAAATGGTTGAAACACACTGAAATGGCGATTTCGATGGGTGAAGGATCGTCCAATTAGCAAGTGGTGAATAGCACTAGTGATAATAAGTCCCCACTCAGTGGGGGGTATCCCATTGATACATGGGTTGGAACTAAGCAGTTGCGCTGGGATGACCCTCCAGGTAGAATACTGTGTTTCCCTTGGGTAAACAAAAGAGAACATGCGGAAAACATGAATGTAAACAGTGGAACCAAGATTGAACTATTGAATTCTATAGGTACTACTCATCCTACTCTCTTGTACACAGAAAACAGTGCAAAAACCACCATTTCTAGATAATTTTCCCTACAAGGTGGTGCCCCCCCCAGTTATAAGTTGGTTTATAATCCCATTAACTAGTTCGATATATCTACCATAAGTCCTAGTTATTAGAGTTATAAACCAACTTAGCTATCTTGGGGGCCTCACATTGTAGATCGTTTTCCCTAGGGAAACCCTGGGTTTTCCACATATTTTTTCTCCACCCGGGTCACCGTGCCACCCCGTCCTCGCCCGGCTCTGGGCGGCGACGCAGCGGCGCAGCCATCAAACGCAATGAGGAGACTATATGATTTTATACTATGAGGATAGGGCAAACGTATCATTGTATATCATGTTATGTATCCTACTAGCCTATAAATTCAGATCATTGCCTATCATGATAAATGAATTTATAGGCAATGATACTTCGTAAAGTGCCACAACTTGCTGGTTGACAACGGTTGGTTGATCCCCTAATGGGCTATAGTCCTTCCAGAATATCAAGCTTGCAAATGTGAAAACTGAGGTAGTCACCTACCAGATCAAGGAATGCACTGGCTATCAGATTGAAATATCACTTGATAATATCACTGGCTACTTATTGAACATATCACTTAATTCTACCCGCCAGGAATTACTTATTGACAATTTCACTGGCTACTACACGACTACTGCGTCTGGGAATAAAATCATCTACAGGCCCTGAGGCAACAAAACTGAAGTCGACCTTGAGCCAAAAGAAGGAGATGCGATGAACATGACCCCTGGGCATCCGAAAAAAGGTGTTCAACGTTGGCAATTCATTGGAGATATCATAGGGGTCTTTTAATAGGGATACTTATGCCAGGGTCACAATGGTTATATAAAATATTATTAGATGGAATCTACTTAGTTGGGCCATGGAATTAGGGAAAACTAGTTGGTAAATGGATTATTTCATTGGGATTGTTTGGGGGTAAGAAATACCCAGTTACTAACCAGGAATCGCTAATCCCATGGCCCATCTAAGTACTGGAGACGACCAGGAGTTGGTGCTCCAGCTTGACGATTGGATTTCTGGCAGAGATACTGAACTACACTTGAAGGCCTCCATTTCTGTTAGTGATTTAATGGTGATTTCATAGTGATTCCATGGGGTTTTACTATGCTTTACTAGTTGTAAGTGGTTGTTGCAATGGAATTATCATCTGGTTATGATTGTTACATAGCCATGGAACATCGCCATGCTATTAATAATTAAGGTAAACCATCTACAACTATGGGCCATCGAAAAACCATGGCATTGTAACAAATAACCATAATAGGGCTATTTCGGCAAATGAATATGTGAAATAAGTGAAGCTTTCATGGCTTTTCACATCAACCAACACACACAAACATGACATGTTTGCTGGCTAAGCCCTGCTCATCATTTATGGCATAGCTAAGCGGCTCAAGCGGCGGCTCGGTGGGGTCCCAGGAAACGACCCTTACTAGTTGGCCAAAAGCTAGGTAGACAAAAAAGCGATTTTTTGATCTCTATAAATATTCCTGCTGCTATCTTATGGTGGAGTATATCTGTCAAATATAGGATTACATCTGTCCCATAAATACTATAGATTGCTATAGTGCATCTATACTATGGGTATAATATATATATATATATATCTCTCTCTCTCTAATTCAGGTTATAAAATGTATCTCTATCTGCACGTTGGGCAATGATCCCAAGATTAACTGGTTGGTGGTATACCCACCCCTCTGACAAATGATGGAGTTCGTCAGTTGGAATCATGAAATTCCCAATATGGAAAAATCCATGAAAATCCATTACAATCCATTAAACCACTATAATGTTCCAAACCACCAACCAGTTAAAGATAATGAAAAGTGGAACTGGTTCTCCCAGTTCTCCCAACGGATCTCTGGAGTCAAACACACATTCCATGTCTGATCAAATCTCTGATGTTGGGATAGTATTGTTCAAAGGTATAGCTATACCAGAGAGTATCATGTACCCTCTGGTAAACTAACATAACTATGGAAAATCACCATTTTCAATGGGTAAATCAACTATAAAATGGCCATGTTCAATAGCTATGTTAGTTTACCAGAGGGTAGACTCTTCAATCATCCATCTAGAGGCAATCATCCAATCTTGCAGAACGAACCATATTTTTTCACGTTTTGTTTGTTGCAAGCATTGCTTTATAACAATTTAACTGTAGACATAGTTTGCCTATTGAACCTAGTTATAACAGAATGAATGCTTAATCGTAGAACCAAATTTATCTAATTTATAGGTTCAGTAGAGTTTGCGGTTATTAAACCAACCATATAGACATGTGTTGCCAAAAAGATAAATATCGAAGCTAGTTGTGTAGATACCGCCGTAGCTAAAAACCACAGGCATCACCTGGAGCCATTCCCGTTGAATCACCTCAACATGTCCATGAATCATCCATGAAGATGTACCATCAAAAATTCAGAAAACAGCCTGTTATACCTCTAAATTAACATAGACCCTGGCAGATAGGGGTTGGAAGACTAGTTTCCATTAAAAATTGGTGATTTTCAGGGTTTATGTTAATTTACCAGGGTGTAACATGTAAATACATATACATTACAGCTTGAAAATTCATTATAAAATATATCTTCAAGCCACAATGCCCGGCAGCACTTTTTCCCCTCAAACTCGGTGAACACT